CCCAGCTCAGCTGGGCTCCAGCTCACAGAGCCCCCCCAGCCCAGGCTTGCTCTGCTCTCTCCCATGTCTCCTTTGCCCTCCTCTCCATGCCCCAAAGCCACGCTAACGGGGKGAGGTGACCTCCTGGGGCTGCCTGCTCAGCTCACGGGGCGGCTTCAACCCATGGAATCCCAGAATGGTTTGGGTTGAAGGCACCTCAAAGCTCCTCTCGTTCCACCCACACCTTCCCCTGTCCCAGGGTACTCCCAGCCCTGTCCAGCCTGGTTTTGGGCACTGTCAGGGATCCAGGGGCAGCCACAGCTCCCACCCTCACAGGGAGGGATTGATCCCTGATATCTCACCCAAATTTCCCCTCTTTCAGACTGAATAATTGTCCCTTGTCCTCCAGCTCCTGCTGAAGGGTCCCTTCCACCTTCCTTGTAGGTCCCTTTGGATCCTGGAAGGGGCTGTGAGGTCCTTCCAGCATCTGAGGTCCTCTCCTCAAGAACTGCTGTCACCATTTGATTTTTGGGTTCTGAGAGAGCACCAACCCCTGCAGCTGGGAGGAAGAGAGCCCAGAGCCAGGATATGACAGCAGCTTCATGGGTTCATAAAGCCTTCCCTGAATTTCCATATCTCTGAATTTCCATATCTCCCCAGTATCATTTTCCCATCCCTTATTTACGTAATGGGATAACAAAAATGACAATATTCCATTGTATTGTACCCACCGCAGTCCACGGGACCCCACGGATCAAAACTGTTCCAGCTGTACCCATCACAATAAATTGCAGGACTCTTTAAAGGCCACATGGAAAGACACAGACAGGCCCTCTGTGGGTACTGAACATGTTATCTCTGGATGTCATTTTTGACCTACTTTTGCTAGATTTTTGCAGCAGCACAAAATCTGTTCCCTAAAGAACCATGCCACGTGCRCAGCACCTAGAAAGGGGGAACCAGCAAATCTGGATAGATTTTATTTCATTTAGGACTCCTCTCACCCTGAATTACAATGTTACAGACTCTAAACGCCTTCTCGTTACCCATAATTATAACTAAAATTATATCAATCCAAACAGCAGCTACTGGAATGATTCACCCTGATTGGGAGGAGCTGCTCCCTGGAGCTCTGCCTGCCCATCCATCTCCACAGCTTTCCAGAAGGTCATTTAACAGCACATTAAATAAATAAACACAGCGTATTTGTTCCAGCAAACACACTCTAATRGGCTGGGGGAGCATTTTGGGAGAGGTGAGGATAACCCTCATGGAAATGAAACCTCCTGGCWCTCCATCCTTGCTGAGGGTGCAGCACCCACCCAAAGGCAGGGAATGTGATGCCAGCAGGGAAAATCCCTCATGTCCCACATGTCACCCTGAGCCCCTCTTGTCCCTGCAGAAGCCACCAATTTCTGTACAACCTCAGCCATCAGCCACATGGAGAGGGAAGGGTGGAAAACATTTCTGATCCAAGCTTGCCAGAGCGTGGGACAAGACAAAAGAAACGTGGGCTTTGGCTCAGATGTTTGTGGGGTGACRAAGGTGTGACAGGGACCCGGTGCCCCCAATTGCCTCTGCAATTGTCTGGAGAAATCATCGACTTGGAAAGAGTAAAAAAAAATAAAATTACAGGGAACATTTAACTATTTATTTCTTCCTATAAATAAAGTCTAGCCATCAAATCACAATGTATTTGGGAGCACATGTTATTGACAGCCTATTCTTGGAGGGGAAGAGAAAAAAAAAGTGCATTTTTTGGCAAAGTTTGCTAAAGATTAAATTGTTCATTGTACAGGGCACCATCTGCCCTTGGAGAGAGATTTAGTTGATGGCAGCTGCAACCAAAGTGTGGAAGATAAAGCCGAATTTCTGGTTTCTTTTCAACTAGCAACTGTCATTACAGGTCACATGCAAACTGTGTCATTTTCTGTGACAAGCAGGTTCTGCAGATTTGGGTGCTCGCTACATTTTCGAGTGCCACCTGTAAGGATCCCAGCCGAGAAACAGCTTTTGGAACACACCTTGCAAAACGTGAATTTACAGCAGATAAGACAAAGCAATTATGGACCAACCATCTGGACCCTGGCTGCGTGCTCCAGGCCCGGGTTATTTACAGGGAGGTCAGGCTGGACTTGGGGCTCACTTAAAAGCAGATTCTT